AGACCTACCACAGTTGACTTGAAAAGGCAGAAGAAACTCAGGATTCAAACTCTGGGACTAACACATATAAAAGCAGGATTCCTAACCGTTGTTAGATGGAGACTTTCTGCATGCATGGCTTCCTAATTCCCTGTATTAAATCTACTTATTTAGCCTCGTTGAATCTGCTTGGGAACAGGGAGCAGGGAAAGTCTAATGTCAGTACTTGGTAGAAAGCTTTAATGTCAGCTATCCAGGACTCAGAGAAAAGGACATTTCAAGAATCTGAGAATGAAGTTTTCGCTGGTGTCTTATTTAGAGACACAGCAGTTGCATTCTAAGTTAATACTATCTTTATGCAGCCAGGCTGCTTACCTGTTGTTTTGTAAAGTATTCATTATTTTAATTGCTTGATGACAGGAACATATAAATAGAGTGAAGTGGGAGGGTGTATTCATTACTTGGTGCAATGTTGTCTCTCTTACATTTATAAATGTTGTGGAGACGTTGCATATTTATCAGAAGAGAAGATTTAGAATTACACAGCTAGAAATCTATTTTAAAGCTGTGACAGAACCAGAGACTTCCTGTTAATAGGAAAAAAACGCTTGGTTGGTTTTCTATTATCACACCATCCAAATTCCAATTCATTTACCATATTTATTTTTACCTTCCCCTCCTTTTTCAAAATATTCAGCAGGCAACAGAAAGCCCATTTTATGTAATAAAAGACCTATAAAGAAACTAGATCATAGTTGCCAAGGGAAGGTTAGCCAGCGCCTGTCAAAGCTGGGCAAAAAATTTAAAGCTGTCCTCTCTAATCAGAAATCACTCTCCAGGTTTGCAGGCCAGGGACTAGCAATATGGTGCTTGTGGATGACAGAGCTTCGAACACCTACCAGCGTCCAAAAGAACAACCTTCAGCACAACCTGCTCTGCCATGTACTAAAAAGACAAAGTTTGGGGTCTGTTTTCTTCCCTAAATGGACATAACCATAATGTTCATCCACTGTCTCAGTGCCTAAACTGGATAAGCAAATAAATATTTTTAGACTGAATCACCCATAATTTGCTCTTATTTCTTCTCTCTGAAAGCAGACCAAGTCTTTGTCTTTGTCTTTTTAATACATGGGAGAGCTGTGCCTTTGGGGCTCTGAGATTTGCTCTTCTATATATATCCTGCATGGACTGTGGGCACCTCTACTTTACTAAAGCTTCTAATTTTATCTACAAGAAGAATCACTGGTACTTGCAGCAATCAGTAGTATTTAAGAACTAATAAAGAATGAAGGCCAAAGACATGACAAAAGGCAGTTTCTTGTGATTTATGTTTATGCACTCTGTCAAATGAAAAACGGGAAAACACAAACAATTTCATGCTGGTAGCAGGCCTCTGCTTTGC